AGTCACTTCCCTAATCAGTCTGTTTGGCAAAGCAGTGCCTCCATTATTTATGACCTCAAAGCAGGGATTAACTTGGACATCATCAAGCTGAGTGAGACAAGGAGACAGAAGGAACAGACACGGTCTGGTCCCCGAGACAAGGCCCCCGGAGTGGTCACGATCATGAAGACAGAAGGCAGGGGTGGTGGCCTGGCCGGGAGAGGGGAGGGGGTTTCACGGGTGCGAGTTTCAGTTCTGTAAGATGGACAGACTTCGGAGATGGGGAAGACGATGGTTTACAACTCAGACTGTACTGAATGCTACAGAACCGCACACTTAAACGGTTAAAACAGTAAGTTTTACGTTACCTATAGTTTACCACGATAAAAAAAAGTTGCCAAGAAAGAGTAACTAGTCTCTGTCATCAACAGGGCACCTTGACTCTTGACGATGGCAACCGCTAAGTGGTACCCTGACCGTGCCTTTGCCTATTGATCGCTCCGTTTGCAACACCATCACACGGTCTCAATGCCAGGTTCTCCTCTTCCAGTGGCACGGAGCCGTGTTCACAGGTCCCCTCCAGCAAAGGTCTGTGAGCGCTTCTCCCGCCCACCAGTTTCACTACGAGTGCGCCCGCCCACACCCGGGGGAAGGAGGTCACACTGGTTCCCCAATTCGGATTTCTGTTCCCTTCGACAAGTTGGCAGCGCCTGCCCTTGGCAGTCGGTCAGGTGTGGTGAGAGGGAAGGAGGCTGGGGGCAGGAAGAGTCCATGTTCTGCTGCTGTGAGAACGTGGGGTGTCGAGGGTCCCCACCGGCTGGTTGTGAGGACAGGTGGGAAGGGAAGCAGGCCCCCTCTTGCCTGCCAGGCGGAGACTTTCGAACAGGACTCCTTGTCGAGCGTGTTTCTCCAGAAGTGAATCCTGCTCTCGGGCCTCCGTCCTTTGCTCTGACTCCCAGAACATGCCCACCCGTGGGATTCGGGCCGGAGGACTCTGCACCAGCTGTCACTTGGGCCCGGGGGGGGGGGGGACTGAGAGCAAACCCGAGGGCTCTCTGCCTGCTGGAAAGGCCCGACGGAGTTGCAGCCTCAGCAGCGAAGGTCGAGACGCCACGCCTGTCCCTGTGGTCTCCCCAGGGACACATCTGTGTGTCCCCTTGTCTTTGCTAGTGACCAGAGTGCATGCACAGCCTCAGCAAAAAAAAAGAAAAACCCCACGCTGCTGGGCTAGCAGCTCCGTGGGCCGCTGGGGAGGTGACCTCTGAGAAGGAAGCCGGTGCTGAGCCTGCTGGTTTCCTGGGAAAGCGGCTCGGCTTTTGGCCACGAGAAAAAATGAGCAGCGCCTTCTCTGAGTCTCACTCCTGGGTTTTATTTTGCCCACAATCTCAGAGAGATACTTTGCTGCTTATTAAAATGTCTGAAAATTCAGGTACGACTACCTGTTGAAGCGTCTTTGGCCTCGGACACCGCGGAGAGAAGAAATGTTCACGACAGTAAGTATTTCGAACCATGCGCAGGTGTCCACTGCGACTGAGCAGGCCTGGCGCTGACCCTGACTCGCCCCACGCGGGGCTCACCTATTTCATGACTGGCGCGCTCATCGCCTTCAGCAGAATCAGAATTTAAGAAGCAGACAGGGAGTTTCCGATGCAGAGGCGGAGCCTCCCGTTGCTGAATCCCAGCAGTCTTGGAGCTGTTTTCCCAGGACCACTCAGAACAGAACCGCAGCCTCGTCCCCCGCCCTCCCAGGGGGTTTCCGATGCTGAGTCACCCACGGACACGCTCAGAGGCCCGTTGCTCCATCACCTCGATGCAGCGTAGCCTCTGAGTTTCCAGCTTCTGTGAAAAGGGATGATTTTAGAGGAGGGCCGCAAGTCAGGACCGGGGTAGTAATTCTGCAACCGTTGGGAATGAAATACCGGTGGCATGGTCACTACTCCAAACAACCGACAGCGGTCAGCAGCTGTCCTGCTCCTGCCAGACTCCTCACCTGGGGAACCGGGTTGAGCGTTTAAACCGAATTCGCCTCTGACCCACTGTGGAATCTGCAAATTTAAGTCACTCCAGAGAGCTACAGATTACTCCTCGACTTAGGTACAGAAAGAATGTCATTCTCCTTCCTCAGATATCATTTAGAAAGTCCTAATAAATTCATCTGGAGAAAGGATGAACATTAAATATTTACTAATAAGTAGTGCACTTAAATTTTTCAGCATGCATATTTAATCGATACGCTTTAGTTCCTCTTGGGTTTCATACTATAGTTCAGAGAGTTTCATTTCCAGCTTTCAGGCAGGACAGGCCTTTTTCAGGGGGCGGGGGAGGAGATTCTTGTTTGCTTTTTCCTGTTCTCTAGTCTCTAATGGAACTTGTTGAGACACCTTCTCCTCTAAACGGCCACCAGTCCTGCCACCGCCTGCATCACACAGACAAGCCACCGAACCCCGTGTCACTGCAAGACCATCTCCTGTGGCCTGAACAGCCGAGGCTCTGATCCTGAACAAAGAATTCCCTGGACAACAACAGGGAAAACAAGTGTTTTCCTCTCCAGCTGTTTAGTGGACCAGATTCATCGCAAAATCAAAACTTGATAAATAGCCAAGTATGTATTCAACCATTAATCCATCCATACTGCTTGCTGCCTTTTCTCCACCCAAATATCGTAATTCACCTAAACATTTCAAAAGAGGAAGACCACTGGGGGTTTTCAGGAACTTGTCATTTGTATAGAAATGATCCTTAATCTTGAATGGCTCCTGGAAATGTTCGAAGACATTAAATAAACAATGTCCAGTATGTCACAGAAATAGTATGGGGACTCTCATTACATACTTCGTTTTGTACTGAGTTTCTCTGGAACGAGCTGCTGGGGGTGTGCTGGGGGTGGCGGGCGGCTCTGTGCACAAGGAACCTTAGGCACATTTCGCCAGTGAGGAAGGGCGCTCTCCCCAGTAATAAAATCGGCGGGCCTCCGGCTGCCCTGTTCCAGAACGTAACTCTTGCCCATCTCTCAGATTACCTTCTCAGATTCTCTGTGAGCAGCAGAGAAGCCTGGAAGAAAGGAAATCTCTTAAAAGCACGATCTCACCAAAGAACTGCCTGAGCCCCAAATGAAATCAGGTGTGGGGGGGGGCGGAAGACTGGGCAAGGGACGCAGGTGGGGGGGTCACCATTTTGTGCGGACGCCACTGGAGGACATTCTCACCCCTTGTTGATCTAACTTGTCAGTTCTCAACATGTGGAAGTTGTTAGTGCAATACTGTTGTTTTCCATAGACCCGAGGACACAGATGGCTGTCGATCGTTGCCTTCACCTCAAATCCGCTCGAAAATCGACGAAAACTATTAAAATGTCAAGCATTCAAATTTGAATCTCTTCGTGGGAGATACCATATATGTGATAATGTGTCCATATCTATAGGTGCCATTTCGGTCCTCGTCCTGCGGCGAGTTGGGGGAGACTGTTATTTGTGTGTTTGTACGGTGTTCTGTAACGACTGCGGCCCTCGGTCACTTCCCTGTGAATCGGCTGTTCAAGGGCACATCCACCCGAGGCGTTCACGCTGGAACCCGCAGCAATCGTACCCGCCCTCGCCATGCCCGCTCTCCAGGCCTGTGCAGGTCGCTGAGCCCCGGCGCCTCCCACGTGAGGATTCGGGGTCCTTCTCTCCTGAGTTCTCCGCCCTCTTGCCCCCGCCCCGCCCCCCCGCCCTGGAAACTCACACATCGCACACGGGCGCGCGCGCGCGCGCAGCATGGCCCCTGTGTCTCAGTCCGGCTTTGCAGGCACGAGCTCCTCCCTCCCAGCGAGCTGTCTGTAGTAGTTTCTGTTGTAAACGTTCTAAGTTGGAGAGGCCCCGAGCCGCAGCCCGCGAGCGGTAGCGAACGTTAGGGACGGAGAAATGCCACCGCGGAAGGTAACGCCTGGACCGCAGCTCGGCCGCCAGGGCGCCGCGACGTCGGTGCTTTGGACGGAATTCATCTCCGCGGCGGAGTTATCTCGAGGAGGGAACAATATGGCCAGGAGCGACGGGGGAGGGCGCTTCTCCCCGCCCCCCCTCCCCGGGCCACAGCCCCGGGCCGCGCGCCGAGGCGGGGGCGCTCCGCTCGCCCTCCCCCGTCCTCGCCCCCCGCCCCCCGCTTCTTCGTACTGGTAATGGTTTGGGGAGTCAGATTGGGAATTTTGTTCCCAGACTCAACTAATTGCAACTAAGTACCGCCCACGGGGAGTAGTGGGGGTGAAGAAATGGAGTTTAAAACACAGAAAAATTAGAGTTGAACTTTTCAAAGATAAACATAAAAACAAGTCATTAAAAATTGACATGCAGTAGGATCCGTGTCCTGAAGTCTTTCCGGAGGGACCCTTTGATCTCGGCTGAGCACTTACTGCCTTGATACTCCGCGTCTGAATACCCTAAACACATTTCCGGGAAGTTGAGTAAACGCACCCCCACCCAGGCCATTCGTAACGCACAGGCGCTCGGGACCCCCAGGACCCCCACAAAACGCTCTGGACTCGAGGCTCAGTGCTCAGGTGCCCCAGTCGGCTGAGATACATCCCCGACACGTCTGCACGTATGGATGCGTGCGTGTGTGTGAATCCTTGTGTGCGCGCGTAAACAGCTTCCCCTAATTGGGGCTTCGGCGGCCGAGTCCTGGGGAGGAAGGGGCGACAACCAGCCGTTGGGTCGTGATTCAGGGCTATTAGGAGAAGAATGAGCTGCGTCTGAGTCATCGCGAGCCTCCAGACTTTCCCCGCAGTGTGGCAGAACTTTGTGCTGATGAGACAATAGTGGAGAGTGTGCGTTTCCTACAGGGCAGACCATTCTGGGGCTGGGGGAAGCCTCGGGCCTGCGCCGGGCCGCGGTGGTCCGGCCCCCTCCCCGCGCAGCGCAGACCCCCGAGCCCAGCCGGCGCCGGGGTCTCCGCGAGGCAGGCGCGTCCGGGGCGTGCACGGGAGGCGCGGGGAGGGGGCCGGGCGCGTGGCGGGGCCCGCGCGCCCTCGCGCGTCCCCCGCGCCCGGGCGCAGCTGGCGCGGTCGGTCTAGTGCAGCGCTCGGCTCCGCGCCTCCGGCGCTCGGCTTCACCTTCAGAGGCGCGGGGCGTGCGCATCCTCCAGCCCCCGCCGCCGCCTCCCCGCTAAGGTAGGGGCCGCGGTGGGGGGCGCCGCGGGCCCGTGGGGGGCGGGGGCGCGGGGCCAGGGCCGGGGCCAGGATGTGCCTGGGAGCGCGGTGTGAGCCGCGGGTTGGGGGCGCCGGGGAGGGGCTCCCGGGCGCGGGGAGGGCGGCCGGGCTTTCCCTGCTGGTAGTTGCTGGGCTCCGCAGTTCCAGGAGTGGGGAGATGCAACTTCAGGCGGCGAGGCGAGCGCCGGGAGGTGGCTTTTACCGCAGTGGAGGGGCGGGGTGGGGGCCGAGGTGGGAGCGAGGAAGAGCCTCTGGCTTTGTACACTTCGTCAAAGGCGACGCGGGAGGAGGGGAGCTCGGGTGCGCTCTCCATCCATTAGCAGACAAAGAGCAAATTGCCTTACTTTAAAGTAAAACGCTCTGGCTAATGAAGGTGAGTGATGGGGCTGCGGGCCCGGAGAGCCGCTGCGGGTGTTAAGGGCTTGGTTGACGGGATCGATGCGGTGGGCACCGAGCGCTGCTGCCTCGGGGACGCGTTTGCGTGGGGCCGGGGGCTGTTTGTCCGTCCCCCTCCTTTCCTTGCCTACATGGAGCCTAAAAGTGACCCTAACATTAAAGAAGTGAGATGCTGGAAAGGAAGTTAGGGCAGTGGTGGGAGTGGGGTGGGGGCGGGGGCCAGTGACTCAAAACACTGGTGGGGAGCGCGGGTCCGGGTGGCAGGGACTTCTCAGAGACGCACCCAGCCAGACTGGGGCAGGGGCTGAGCGGGGGGGGGGGGGGCGTGGGGATGGGGGAGGTATTGATGTCAGTATGTATCCGGGTGGGTACACGTACAAGAAAAGAATGCTTGGGCTTTGAGTTGGGGGGGGTGGGGGTTGGAAAAGCGCCTTGTCTGCCATTTCCAGGGATAACTAACACACTGCATAGTTACGCCCGGTGTTTAGATTAAGCCGCCTTGCCGCGTTGAAAGAAACGTGTGTGGATAAGTTCTCTAAGAGCCAGCGAGTGGAGTGTTACAAACCGCAGTGTAGGGGGCAAGGTGGGTGCGGTGATAATCAGCTCTGGTGGGCTGGGAAGCCAGTGGGCCCTGCCGTTAGGGAGAGACCCAGCCTTTCACCCGAAAATGTGGGTCTGTAAGTCAGCCCCACTAATTATCAGCCTTAATAAGCACCGCGCAGCAGGCCGGGAGCTTCTGTTCGAGAGTCCGTCTGCTCCTCATTCCGCTGGGTTTGTTGATAAAGAACTACGTGGTCTCCGGGTGTGCAAAGATCAGCTTGCTCGGCCCCCTTTTAAAATATATTCATCCTGTGCCTTATTTAACCCAGATGCACAAAAAGCTATTTGCTGCTTCATTGTTGGTTTACGTTGTTTTGAAAAGGCGACTGGTGTAACCTGTGGAATTTGAAATGCAAATAAAGGCCTGTGGGAGTTGAGGCAGAACAAATCGGCGTTTATAAAGTGAAAAAGATTCAATGTCTTTGAAATCATTGCAGAGGCAAAAACAAAACAAAACAAACAACAAAAAGCCCCACCAAAGCCCAACAACGCGCGCGCGCGCACACACACACACACACACACACACACACACAAAACCGGGAGAAAGGGGAGTCATTTTTCAGGGAGCGAATTGTGACGTCAGGTCTTTTTGGAAAAGATATTTTTAAGGTCTGAACCCTGGGTATGTAAAGTGCTTACAGGGAAAACAGATTACAAGATTAACATCTGTTAACATGATCGTTTATCTCCAGCCAAAAATAGGTCAGTTCTTAAGGAAACATGATTGCTACTGGCTCATGCTTAAATAAAATTAAAATAATGAGTTCATAAATTAGGACTGGAGGTTTTTTTTTTTTTAAATCTAACCTGTGAAAAAACATTTTTTACTTTCGGAATAAATGGAAGGTCAAAGCTCCTTTTGGGTGGTGAGAAGGACGCTTCACCCTGTGTCCACCCTTCGCAGAAGCCCCCGTCTCCTTATTCGGGGCCACCTCTCTTCCTCCCCTCCCGGGATTGCTAGTTTTCTTTTTCATCCATTGCGGGAGTACAAAATATATTTAAATGGATATTGTTTGACCCCTCCCCTGCCCCCGCCCCCCGGTTAAAGAAGGAAAACTCTCTGCGCAGATGGCTAACTTTCAGATGTTCTTTTACCATTAAATGAATCCGTGGGGGCGGGGGTGGGGGAAGGAAACAGCCTTGCAAAGTTTCCCTGCCCCCTGAGTGAGAGTGACGGCTCTGCTGGCCAATCCGTAGCGACTCTCCATCCCGGAGGTAATTTGGGATGTGAGTGTGTGTGCGCGCGTGCGCGCGCGTGTGCATGCGCCCATGTGTCTGCACACTGTTCAGTCCCACCAGCCCCGCGCATCCGCAGGCTCTTGATTTGCACAGCTGTCTGCTACGTGTAGATGTGGACACGCGTTGATCCGAGTCCGGGCAGCTAGGTGGGCATGCGGCAGTCCCAATGGAGACCCTGCCTCCTCCGAGTGCCCTACTGTACAGAATGGACGCAAGAGGCGCTTTCGGATTCCAGTGGAAACCTGCAGAAGGGAAGAAAAGAGGAGTAATGTGATTATGCTTTTCAACAGCTGGGGAATTGGTTCCTTCCGTCTCATTCCCACGCGGCAGGCGGTCCCCAGCGCGCTCAGGGTCCGGGTAGGGGAGCCCACTTGCCGGGCTCAGAACGCACCGAGAACGAGAATTGTTGGAACTGGTGTTAACTCTGTACAAAGTAAAGGCAGCGTGCACCTTCCGATTTCCAATTTTATTTTGTCTCTGGAAGTTGATACTCAGCCCCTTCTACAGCGTGACCCGCTCACGGTCAGTGGAAGTTATGTGGCCCACTGACTTGAGAGTGCGGAACGCGGGTCGCGTCGCCGGCACAATGGGCATATTCACGGGCGCAGAGCGGCCTGCCCCCCCCCCCCCCGCGCTGCGTGCTGGCTCGACCTGGCACCAGCCTCCCTGGAAAGGTTGGGAGCAGTGTGTGTGGGGACGTGTGGACCAGACCGGGCCATGTAGCATCTTTGGTCACTGCCGCGGTTGCCGGGCTCTCACGGCGGGACGGATGGCGAGGCTGCGAGGCTGCGGGGCGCGGGTTAAGGACCCCGTGCGCCCTCTGCCCTCTCCTTCCCCAGGAACCCCTGCTGGGAGACCCCTGGGAGGGACCCGCGCCCGGGCCGCGGGACTAAGGCCATCTCGAGGGCCCGTGGACCCTTCGTCCGTAGCAAAAACCTAACTCCGTTGTCAAGCGAGGTCGAGTCCCGTGCCTTCAGTTCGGGCCATTTCCGCCCCCCAAGGCGGAGTTGGATCTGATTCTGCCTTCCGCCCTCCCAGCGAGCTCGCCGGTTGTGGAACGGGCAGCTCCGGGAGGTGTCGCGGGATCAAATCATTCCTATTTCTGAATCTCCTGGCGTTTGGGCAGCCGAGGCGAACTGGGGGTGGGGCGGGGGCGGGGGGCACTTACCTGCCCGCCCTGGGGGCGGGGGCGGTGGCCGCTTGTTGCTGGGCTTCCTGGGGGCGGTCCGTGGGCGGGGCGGCGGGGAGCGAGGTGGGGGAGGGCCCGGCCTGCGCCCCCGCCCCCCGGCGCCCGCCCCCCGCCCCCGTCATGTGGAGCGGACGTCACTCGCCTGCACTGTAACCCTAGAAGTGAAAGAGACCGGGACCCACGGCCCAACTTCGCACCGTAACAAAGGCGGGGGTCCGTGCGGGCCGGAGGGGGACACGCTGGGGTGGGAGCGGGCTGGGGGGGAGGGGTGGGGGCGGGAGGAAAGGGGTGGGGCGGCCGGGGACTGGGGGCCTGGCCCGGGCTGGGGGGCACTGAGTGGCGCGGGGGAGTGGGGGCCGGGCCTGGCCCGCGGTCCGTCGGGGGGCGGGGGCCTGCGCCGGGCCCGAGGGTCTGCGCGGTGGCAGCGACCGCGCTGTGGAGGCCCAGGCACGGCGGAGGCCAGGTAATTGGTTTCTATTTTAAACTTCACTTTGTTCTGGCGGAGGTGGGGCGGTGGGAAAGGCGTGGCCCCCAGAGCGATTACGTAACTGTTCACACCTGATTCGGTCCTGCGCCTGGGGTTCCGCGCGGATTGGGGCGCACCCGCCCCGGGCGCCCGGGGAGGGGCTACTGCGAGTGGGTGTGTGTCCTGTCGGGCGACCTGCCCTGGCCGAGCGGGAGGAGCTGGGCGGACTGGGGGCCGCCTCGGAAGCCCAGAGGTGCCCGTGGGCGTGGGCCGGGCCTGCCAGCGGGGCCCACTGCGTAACAAAGGGCAGGGCTGCGGGACCCTCGACCGCGCGCCGCGCAGACCAGCAAGTCACAAAAGGAACTTTGGAAGGTGGTCTTGGTGAAACATTAGTTCCCTTGTGAACCTGCCATTAAGTCTCCAACCCCGATTGAAGGCGACTTGAAAATGGATGCACCTCCCCGCTGTGTTGGGTGGAAAATAAATACCCGTAGAGAACCGACCTAGAGAACCGACCGGGGCGGAAACAGGGATGGCGGTCCCCCCGCAGGACCTTCTTTGGGTGATTTTCCAGGCCGTCCTGGGGACATGATTGGGGTATTTTGGTGGAGGAATGTAAGTGCTACTTTAAGGAAGGAGGCGTGCGTGCTGTTTCATAGGCTACTTTCTCCTGCCGAGTAAGCAGCTCGAGTTATCATTTGTTTGCTCCTCCTTCATTTTCCGTTGCATTCTTTGGTTGTGGCGTCAAAATCGCTGCGTTGTTTGTATTGACGCAGACCGGCCAGGATTCAACATGCCACATGCCTGTGCTGTGGGTGAATGGATAGTTCTCCCTGCCCCCTTGGTAAAATTAGAGCAAGCTGGGAGGTGCTGGGGGGGGGTGCCGGAGGCTGAGGGTAGGGTTGCAGGCTGGATGTCTTGGGTTTCACCAGAGAGCCGGCCATGCCATCTTGAATGGGCCCCTGAGAAACCCAGCTCCCAGTGTCTCGGCTCAAGTATTTTGGTAATGGAATTACAGTTTGAACGGGCTCAGATGCAAACACAGCGCGTCTAATAGTTTTCTTCCCCTGT